CCACTGCTCCAGAGTCCAATGGTGGCGAGCTTTACACCACTCCAGCCGACGCTTGGCATTGCGCATGGTGATCTTAGGCTTGTGTGCGGCTGCTCGGTCATGGAAACCCATTTCATAAAGCTCCCGACAAACAGTTATTGTGCTGACGTTGCTTCCAGAGGCAGTTTGGAACTCGGTAGTGAGTGTTGCAACCGAGGACAGACGATTTTTACGCGCTACGCACTTCAGCACTCTGCGATTCCGTTCAGTGAGCTTGTGTGGCCTACCACTTCACGGCTGAGCCGGTGTTGCTCCTAGACATTTCCACCTTACAATAACAGCACTTACAGTTGATCGGGGCAGCTCTAGCATGCAAGAAATTTGACGAACTGACTTGTTGGAAAGGTGGCATCCTATGACGGTGCCACGTTGAAAGTCACTGAGCTCTTCAGTAAGGCCATTCTATTGCCAGTGTTTGTCTATGGAGATTGCATGGATGTGTGCTTGATTTGATACACCTGTCAGCAACGGGTGTGGCTGAAATAGCCAAATCCACTAATTTGAAGGGGTGTCTACATAAGGTAAAGGTACTTGATTCTTCTTACATCTACTACTAAAGTTAAAAAAGCATTGGATTGGTGTAAACATGAGCTAGGGAGTTTCCTTCCACCATATTTCTTGCACCAGTCTAGGTGCTTATCCTTTAAATCCAAGTCACATTAGGATTGATTTATAATTTAAACCCAAGAAAACCTATGTCCTGGCCTTGGAGTTGTACGGAGTCCTCTAGTGGTCAGAAGCCTGTGTTAGCGTGTGTTAGCCTGTGTTAGCGTGTGTTAGCGTGTGTTAGCCTGTGTTAGCATGGGCAGCACCATTGAATACTTTAGCCATTTTGATTTAGTCAACTGGGCGGGACTTCCAACTTCATTGGCTGGTCCCTCATTCCCTTCGTGAAGAATAAAATGTACTATTTCAAGATGGCGTTTTTCCCTCTCACAGACACCATCATGACACAGATACAAAGATGTCTACCCAGTGGCAGGAAGTGACATCCCCAAAAAACTAACTATAGGTCTACAACACATAGAGTAAACGGCTCCTAGCCTCCCATAGGCTACTTACTAAAACGAATAAAACCTAAATAGAAATGTTTTTAATCAAACTGAAACTTAATAAAAACTACCTGAAACTGAACTGAATTTAAAATAAAAATCTAAAAACTAATATAAATAAAACCGAATATTAAATCATAAAATCAATAATAAACTTGATTAAAACAATGGCTTATTGCATGTCACCGTTCAGAAATAAAATGAGGACCTAAAATGTGTGTTAAATGTGTGTTAAATGTGTGTTAAATGTGTGTAAAATAGGACATACTGGGTGCTGGCGCTGTATGGTCCCGGCTAGTGGAAGCCCATATAAACCACCAAGATGTGAAGAGGGACTCTGTGTGGACAAACAGACGGGTTAGATGGGCGGGTTTTAGAAAACAAATCTCTTCCTCCTCCTGTATATTTCAAAAGTTTAAAAAGCCCCTGTTGTGCTCCTATATTATACTCTCACTTACCGCTGCACAACCCTTTTCAAAACCCCACCACCATATTTACCTCTTTATTTCTTTTGTAGAAATAAGGGGATGTCTGCTACCCCCATATTGAAAGGATAAGGGGAAGGGGGGGTATTCACTAGGGGAAAGGGGCCCCGTAGATTAGTGTAGTGGAACCCCTAAAAGGGCCCGTAGGGGTGTAGTGTCTCAAATAGGAAGGGGCTTTTTTATGTGGTGTGTAATCACCCAGGAAGGGGCTGTATGTTGGGGTTGGTAGTTATTACTAAGGAAGGGGCCCGTAGATTGTGTAGGGAGTGTTAGTGGGGCTAAATAGGAAGGGGCTTGGGGGGGTGTCGGGGGGAGGGGTCCAAATTGAAGGGGGTGGAGGGGGGTATTGGGGTAGTGGAATAAATAGGAAGGGGGGGGTTTAGGTGGTAGGGGGTAAAATAAAAAGGAAAGGGGTTTTAAGGTTTGGGAGGGGGTAGTTGGGCAACCCCACAAGAGGGGTTTTTTGTGGTTTGGGGTTAAATAGGGAAGGGGGTGTGTTTTGGGAGTGTGGGTTTGTGTACTCATATGAAGGGGCTGGGGAGTGTTAGGGGTTGTTTGTGTGTTTGGTATTGGGGAGTGTACTCCACTTTTTAAGGGGGGGTTTTTAAATGTGGTTTTTTGGGTAGTGTACTCACTAGGGAAAGGGTTGGTTTTATGGGGGTAAATGTGAAATGGGGGGGAGGTTTTAAATTGGTAGTTTTTTACTCACTATGAAGGGGTGTAGGGGTATGTGGGGGAGTGTATTCACTAAGGGAAGGGGTTTAGTGTGGGGAAATGTGGTAGGGGTTTCTCACTAGGAAGGGTGGTGTAGTGTGGTATTTTGGGAGTTTTACTCACTAGGGGGGCCGTAGTGTGGTAGTGTACCCCTATGAAGGGGGTTTGGGTTTTTAGGGGTGTGTTTTACTCACCCAGGAAGGGGTTTTTGGGGGAGTGTGGTAAAGGGATCCTATTAAGGGGGTGAGTGTATAGTGTTTTAGGGACTCCAAAAGGGGTGGGTTGGGAGTGTGGGATGTACTCCTATGGAAGGGGGGCCCGTAGTGTAGTATGTGGGAGTTTACTCACTATGAAGGGGCTTTTATTTTGTAGTGTGAGTGGCCCCAACTAAAAGAAAGGGGTTTTAGTGTGAGGGTGTAGTGTACCATATGAAGGGGTGTTTGTAGTTGTGGGAGGGGGGTAATTTTCAGGAAGGGGGGGTTGGGGGTGGTAGGGTTTTCTCAATATGAAGGGGGTGTAGTGGTATTTTGTAGGTTGGTACCACTAGGGAAGGGGGGTTTTAGTGGGGAGTTGGGGGGAGTTAAAAAAAGGAAAGGGGTTGGGGGGGGGTTAGGGGGAATTGGGGGGGAACAAAAGGGAAGGGGGCTTGTAAAAGGGGGGGAGGGTAAATCACTAAGAAGGGGGTTTTTAGTTGGGAGTGTGGTAGTTTTACCACTATGAAGGGGGGTTTAAAGGGGGTAGTGTGTTTGGTTTTGTGGGGGTGGTGTGACTCACTAGGGGAAAGGGGGTGTAGTGTTTGGGGGGTTTTGGGAAATGTACTCACTATGAAGGGGCTGATTTTTGTAGGTGTAGGGGGGAGTGTGGTAGGGTTACCTAATAGGAAGGGGCTTTTTTGTTTTTGGGGTTGGGAGTGTGGGGAGTGTACTCACTATGAAGGGGGTGGAGTGTGGTAGTTTTATCACAGGAAGGGGCGGGAGTGTGGAGGGTGGTAATGGAACTTCCCTAGGGAAAGGGGTTTTTTAAATGTGGTAAGTGTAATCCCCCGAAGGGGCTGGGATGTGGGAGTGGGTATGTCTCACTAGGAAAAAGGGGGGTTTGAGTGTGGTATGGTTAAAGACAAAAGGGGCTGGGGGGAGTGGTGGTGGGGGGTAGGGACTAATAAGGGAAGGGGGGTTTGGGAGTGTGGTAGTGTTTCACTAAAGAAGGGGTGTTAGGGTTGGGGGGGTGGGGGGTGTGGTTTCAATAGAAGGGGCTTTTTTAGTGGTGCTCACTAGGAAGGGGCTTTTTAGTGGGTATGTGTTTGTGCTCACATGAAGGGGGGGTAAAGGGGGGGGTGTGGTATGTACTACTATAAGGGGCCCGTAGTGTGGTAGTGTCTCCTATGAAGGGGGGTGTAGGTGGGAGGTGGGGGTGTATTCACTAGGAAGGGGGGGTGTAGTGTGGTTTGTGTCTCACTATGAAGGGGCCCCCAGTGTGAGTGTGTAGTGGTAGTGTGGGAGTGTCTCACCTTAAGGGGGTTTTAGGTTGGGAGTTTATTTACTAGGAAAGGGGGTGTAGTGTGTTTGGTGTAGGGGTTTGTGTGGTAGTGTTCCCACTATTTAAAGGGGGTTGTGGGGGAGTGTATTCACTGGGGGGGGCGTAGGGTTGGGGAGTTTTTCTCCTATGAAAGGGGGTGGGTGGGGGGGGTACTCACTTAAAGGGGGTGTAGTTGTTAGTGGGACTCACTAGGAAGGGGGCCCGTAGTTTTGGGTAGTGGTTTCTCAATAGGGAAAAAGGGGGTGTAGTGTGGTTTTTGGGGGTTTTTAGTGTTTCTACTGGAAGGGGCTTTTAGTGTGGTAGTGTACTCAATTGAAGGGGGTGTAGTGTGTAAATGTAGTAGGGGTACTCATAAAGAAAGGGGGGGTTTTTATTTTGGTAGTGGGGTAGTTTTTAAATAACTAGGGAAAGGGGTGTAAATGTGGTTTTTGTGGGAGGGGACTACTAGGGAAAGGGGCCTTTTGTGTAATAGTTTACTCACTAGGGAAGGGGGGTTTTAGGGGTTTGGGAGTGTGGTTGTGTTAAAATAACTAGGAAGGGGTTTTAGTGTGTAGTGTGGTGTGGTTTTTTAAAATATGGGGGGAAAGGGGTTTTAGTGTGGGAGTGTACTCACTATGAAGGGGGTGTATGTGGGGTTTTGGGAGGGTACTCACTATGAAAGGGGTTTGTGGGTGTGTACTTTATAGGAAAGGGGGTTTTAGTTTTTGGTAGGGGGGTGGTAGTGTACTCACAGGAAGGGGTGTAGTTGGGGTTTGTGTAATTGGGACTCACTATGAAGGGGGGGGGTAGTGTGGAGTGTAGTAAATGTCCCCAATATGAAGGCCTTTTGGGTAGTGTTCCCATGGAAGGGGGTGTGTGTGGGGAGGGGGTGGGTACTCAATAAAGGAAGGGGGTGTATGGTTTGGGGAGTGTACTCACTATGGAAAAGGGGGGTTTTTATTTTTTAGTGTAATATTTGTTCACTATGAAGGGCCGGGGGTATTTTGGTAGTGTACCACTAGGAAGGGGCTGTAGGTGGTTTTGGGGTAAATCACTAGGAAGGGGCTGTAGTGTGGTGTGTGGTAGTGTATCACTAGGAAGGGGCTGTATTTGTTTGTGGTATTGGGCCACTTAATGAGGGCTTTTTAGGGGGTGTAGTGTAGTATGTACTCACTAGGAAGGGGCTTTTAGGGTTTTAGTGTTTCCCCAAATAGGGAAGGGGGCCGTAGTGTGGTTTGGGATTTTCCACTAGGAAGGGCCGGGCGGCCTCCGGGGGCCTGCTGAAAGGGCCCTAACACAGACAAACCAGGGGAGAAAAATTCCCCGAGAAATTTAGGTTTTAACCCGGGATGATGTTTTTGAAAGCTGGGGGGAGGAGAGGGGGAAGGGGATGAAGAAAAAGAAATTGGAGTGTGTTTGTGGGGGGTTTGGGGTGGTGTCTGTTGGGGGGTGTGTGGGTGTGGGGTGTGTGGGGTGTGTTGTGTGTTGGGTGTGGGGTGTGATTTCTGTCTGTGTGTGTGGGAAGATTGAGATGTGAAGATCCATTTTCATCTCTCCCCCCGAGAGTTAACTCTTTCCTGTACCTGAAATTTCTGAAACCTGGGGACCGTCTTCATAATGCCAATTTTGTTTTAGTACCCTTGGGGGGGTTTTAAAAATGCCATATTGGTATTTTCCCTGGTGTTTTTATTTATAATGCCCTAAAATTTTGTATTTTCCTGGTGGGCTCTCAAATCCATTTGTGTAGTATCCCTGGGTTCTTCATTAAAACCAACTTGGTTTGTATCCCTGGTCCTTCAAATGCCATATTGTTTTTTATACCCCCGGTTTTTCTTTTCATAATGCCAAATTTTGGGGCTATTTCCCCGGTTTCTCTTCATAATGCCAATTGGGGTCGGATCCCTGGGGGTTTTTTCGCTAGATGGAAACCTCACCAGCAATACACTCACCAAAACCTTTTTGGTTCACCTGACCCCCTCTGGGTTCATTTTATAATGTTTATATCAATTTTGCAAAAAGAAATGAGCAAAAAATGGTTTTTTATTAAAAAAACATCAGGGAAAAGTCCCTAGATCTGGCATAAATAAGTTATATTTTATGACCTCTTAATTACCCAAAAAGATCCGGCCAAAAAAAATGTATATTAGAGGTTCACTGTAAAAAATATTGGGTTTTTTTGAAATTTTAAACCCGCCTAATTGGTCAATTTTTTGGGCCCCCCCAGAAAAAAAGGGCAGGAGGGAACTTTGGCAAAGTTAAAAAGCACCGGGGGTTGGGCCCCTTTGTGGCGCTGTTAAAGGATTTCCCTTTTCTTTAGACCTACTGCACCCTTTTCCTCAAAAAAAACCCCCGTTCTGGGCCCCACATTCCCCCTTTTTAAAAATCCCCAAAAACCACACAAAACCCCGGGGGCGCCCCTTTTTTTTAGTTCCTTTCCCGCTAGCCCACTGGGAAAGAGCTGCAAAAAAAACCCAAAATGGGGGCATTTTATCTCCCCCCCCTTTTTTCAAAGACTCACATTGGCCCCTTTCTGGGCAGAGTGGCGCTTCGCCTGAGTTTTGTTTTTTTCTTCTTGCCCTTTTTTTTGTTGTCTGTGCCCAATATGTTTGGAACCCTGTTTTGGGGGCTTCTACCTGTTGTGTTGCCCCCCATGTTGTTGTTGTTTTGTTGTACCCCTGCTGTTGGCATGTGTTTTCGGCCCATGCTGGGGTTGAGGCCCCCGTTGGGGCCCGCCAGGGTGTGTTTGGGCATGTTGTGTGGCCTTTCCCCCCCTGTGTTTCATGTTTTGTTTTCTTTTCCCGGGGGTTTGCTGCCCTGCTGTGTTGGGGCCATGTTGTGGTTGGTAAACCCCGCTGTTTTTTGTTGTTTTTTTTGCACCTTTTCTGTGTTTTTCCCTGTTGTGTTGGCCACCCTTTTTTTTGGTTTTTCAGTTTTGGTTTTTGCTTTCCATGCTGTGTTGTCATGTGTTGGCCATGTGTGTGTTTCTGTGCCCAAAAATTTTGTACCTTTCTGTTGTGCATTTCTTTTGGGTTTTTTTGGGGTTTCTGCCCTGTGTGTTTGGGGGGCAGGGGGCTGCCCAAAGCTGTGTTGTCATGTTGTGTTGTACCATTTTGGGGTTTTTTTCCCCCGTTTTTGTTGCCCACCCTGCTGTGTTTCATGTTTTGGGGCTTTGCTACCATGCTGTGGTTTTTTCATTTTGTTGCTAAACCCTTTCTGTGGTTTTTCATGTTTGGGGTTGCTACCTTGTGTTTTGTCATTTTTGTGTTGCTACCTTTTCTGTGGGTTTTTATGTTGTTTTTGCTGCCATCGGGGTTTTTTATTTTGTGGGTTTTTGAAAAGCTTTTGGGTTGGGCATGTTTTCCGCCCTGCCTTTTGTTTGCCATGCTGTGGTTTTTTGGCCCTGCCCGTGTTGCTGCCATGTTTTGTTGCTGCCAAAGCTTTTGGGTTTTCAGGTTTTTGCTGCCCTTTCCTTTTGTTTCCCGCCCCTTTGTGTGGGTGCCAGGGTGTGGGTTTCGCCCTCTGTTTTTTTGCCATGTTTGTTTGCTACCATGTTGTGTTTTCTGCCACGGTTGGGTTTTCATGTTTGCTGCCATGCTGTTTTGGGTGCCATTTCGTTTTGCTGCCATTTTTGTTTTGCTTTCCGCCTGTTTTCTGCCAAAGTGGTTTCGGCCCCTGTTTTGTGTGGCTTTCCAAACTTTTTTCTGCCCGGGTGTGTTTTTGCCAGGGTTTTTGCTGCCATGCCCTGGTTTCTCCCCTGTTTGTTTTTGCCCCTTTTTTGTTTCATGTGTTTTTGCCAGCGTGTTGTGCCATGCTGGGTTTCTGCCATGCTGTGTTGCTGCCAGCTGTTGGCCCGGGAAAGCTGTGTTGCGGCCCTGTTTTTTGCTGCCAGGGTTTTTTTTTCCTTTCCAGCTTTGGTTTTCATGTGTTGCTGCCTGCTGTGTTTCTGCCATTTGGGGGTGTGTTTTTTTGCCAGCTGTGTTTTTCGTTTATTTTTTGTTGTGCCATGCTGTGTTGCGGGCCCTTTGTGTTTTGCTACCATGTTGGGGTTTTCTGCCTGGGTTTTGTTTATGTGTTTGCCATTCTGTGTTGGTGCCCCTGTTTTTTTGCTGCCCCTGCGGTTCGGGGGGCCATGCTGTGTTGCTTTCCCTGTTGTGGTTTCACCCCTGCTGTTTTTGCTGCCATGTTGTTTCTGCCTGCTGTGTTGCCCTGCTGTGTTGCGGGCCCTGTTGTGTGCCCCGCCATTCTGTTTTTTTGGGCATTGTTGCTTCCCCCCTGCGGTTTTTTGCCCCTGGTGTGTTGGGTGCCATGTTGTTTGGGTACCATGCTGTGTTTGTCCGGGTTTTTTTGCTGCCAATTTCTGTGGGTTTTCAGTGTTGCTGCCATGCTGTGTTTCTGCATGCTGTGTTGCTGCCCTGTTGTGTTTGCTGCCCATGGTGTGGGTTTTGCCCTTTGTTTGTGCCAGGGTGTTTTTTCTGCCATGTTTTTGTTGCTGCCATGTTGGTTTTTCATTGTTTCTGCCTGGGTGTGTTGCGGGCCCTGCTGTGTTGGGGCCTTCTGTGTGGTTTCCCTGTTGTGTTTTCTAAAATGCTGTGTTTTTCTTTCCATTTTTGTTGCGGCCCCCGTGGTTTTCTGCCATGCTTTTTGGGTTTCTTTCCATGCGTGTTTCGGGCCCTTTTTGTGTTGCTCCAAATGTTTTTTTGGGTGCCCCCCCTTTTGTTGCTCCATGCTGTGTTTTTCATGTGTTCGCCATGTGGTTGTCAGGTTTTTTGCGGGCCCCCCTGTGTTGCTGCCATGCTGTGTTGTCATGTGTTGGCTGCCATGCTTTTTGGTTGTCGGTGTTGCTGCCAGCTGTGTTTTTCAGTGTTCGGGCCCTGCTGTGTTGCTGCCACTGGGGTTTCTGCCCTGGGTTTTGTTGACCCCTGCTGGTTGTCCTGTTGGGTTGGGGCCCCTGCGGGGTTTTCGGGGGGGGGCGGGTACCCTGTGGGGGTTTTATGTTTTGGTTTTTGCTACCCTTCTGTGTTGTCCTGTTGGTTGCGCCATGCTGTGGTCATGTTGTGTTGCTACCATGGGGTTGTATGTTTTTTTTTGCTACCTGGGGGTGTTGGCATTTTTTGGGTTTCTGCCATGCTGGGTTGTAAAGTTGTTTTTGCTACCCGCTAGGGGTTTTATGTTTGTTTGGGGACCGCTTTTGTTGGGTGCCATGTTGTGTTTTTTTCCATGCTGGTTTTTCCCTTGTTTTCTGCCATGCCTTTTGCTGTGCCAGCTGTGTTGTGCCATTTCTGGGGGTTTGGGCTTTGATCTCTCTTAAAAAAAAATAAAAAATAACAGTCCACTTAAAACCCCCATATCCGTCACCCCCCCGCCCCCCCCAAATTTAAACCCCCCCTACCACGGGCCCCCTTTTTTTTTTTCCAAACAACTGTGGAAACTAAAAAAATTTTTTTGGAAAATTCCCTATGGGGGCCAAAAAGGGGGGGGGCCAAAAGGGGGGGATTTGGGGGGTTTTAAATAGGAGGGGGGAGCGCTTTGGGGAATTTGGTTCTCCCGGGCCATGGGGGCCAGGGGGAAAACAAACGGGGTGGCCGAAAAAAAGGGGGGAAAAAGGGGGAAAACAAAGGGGGAAAAGGGGGGGAACAGAATAGCCCAAAAGGGGAAAACCAAAAAGAAGGGGGGGGGGAAAGGGGCCCAAAAGCCCCCGGGGGCCCGGGGGGAAATTTCCCCTCTTCTTTAAACTTAAGGGAGTCCAACCCGGAAAAATTTTTAATTAAAAAAAATCCCTTGAAAAGAAATTGGATTGGGGGGCCGGGCCAAGGGGTGGAAAACCCAAAAGTTTTGTGCAAAAGGGGGGGTATTTAAAAACCCGCCCTTGGGGAAAGCCCAAACCAAATTTCAAAACTTTAAATTAAAAAAAAACACATCCACCCTTAAATTTTAAAGGGGAATGAAAGTGTAATCGGCCTTTTAATGGCAAATGCCAAACAAAAAGAAAAACCCTAATAAAAGGCCCCAAAAGAAAAGATTTCCTTCGGGGCAAAAGAAACCAACCTAAAAATTTAGCCCCAAAAAAAAATTTCCCGGTTTAAGTCCCCAAAAACCCAAACCCCCTCCCTTTTAGGGGGCTTTTGGGGGTTAATTATGGTTCACGGTGAAATTCCCAAGGAAAACCCCTAAAAGGGGAAAATTTTTGGGTTTTCTTTTCTTTGGGGAAAACGCTGTAATTTTGAACAAGGAACCTTTTCTTTTTTTTTTTTTAAAAAAAAAACCCCCAAAAAATTTTTTGGGGTTAAACCCAAACAAGGGATTGCTGGCCCCCCCGGGGATACGCCATTCCCATCTGGTTTTTTGGGTTTTGTGGGGGTATAATTTGTTTTTTTAACCGGAAAACCCCCCAATTTGGGAACCCAAAAATTCTGGTGGACGCAATTGTGGGGCCTCTGGTCGTCTGTCTGAACCGTGACATAGTGTGGTAGTGTACTCACTATGAAGGGGCTGTAGTGTGGTAGTGTATTCACTAGGAAGGGCCTGTAGTGTAGTAGTGTACTCACTAGGAAGGGGCTGTAGTGTGGTAGTGTGGTAGTGTACTCACTATGAAGGGGCTGTAGTGTGGGTAGTGTACTCACTAGGAAGGGCCTGTAGTGTAGTAGTGTACTCACTATGAAAGGGGTGTAGTGTGTAGTGTGGTAGTGTACTCACTATGAAGGGGCTGTAGTGTGGTAGTGTGGTAGTGTACTCACTAGGAAGGGGCTGTAGTGTGGTAGTGTACTCACTATGAAGGGGCTGTAGTGTGGTAGTGTACTCACTAGGAAGGGGCTGTAGTGTGGTAGTGTACTCACTATGAAGGGGCTGTAGTGTGGTAGTGTGCTCACTAGGAAGGGGCTGTAGTGTGTAGTGTGTAGTGTGGTAGTGTACTCACTAGGAAGGGGCTGTAGTGTGGTAGTGTATTCACTAGGAAGGGCCTGTAGTGTAGTAGTGTACTCACTATGAAGGGGCTGTAGTGTGGTAGTGTGGTAGTGTATTCACTAGGAAGGGCCTGTAGTGTAGTAGTGTACTCACTAGGAAGGGGCTGTAGTGTGTAGTGTGGTAGTGTGGTAGTGTACTCACTATGAAGGGCCTGTAGTGTGTAGTGTACTCACTAGGAAGGGGCTGTAGTGTGTAGTGTAGTAGTGTACTCACTAGGAAGGGCCTGTAGTGTGTAGTGTACTCACTAGGAAGGGGCTGTAGTGTGTAGTGTGGTAGTGTACTCACTATGAAGGGGCTGTAGTGTGTAGTGTAGTAGTGTACTCACTAGGAAGGGGCTGTAGTGTGTAGTGTACTCACTAGGAAGGGCCTGTAGTGTAGTAGTGTACTCACTAGGAAGGGCCTGGGCGGTCCTCGGGGGCCTGCTGCAGGCCATAACACAGACAGACCAGTGGAGAAGATTCCCAGAGCATTCAGGTTCAGCCCCGGGATGAGGTTGGTTTGATGCTGTGGGAGGAGATGAAGAGATGAAGAAGCAGTTAGGAGTGTGTGTGTGTGTGTGTGTGTGTGTGTGTGTGTGTGTGTGTGGTGTGTGTGTGTGTGTGTGTGTGTGTGTGTGCATGCGTGTATGTCTGTCTGTGTGTGTGTGTGTGTGTGTGTGTGTGCGCATGCGTGTATGTCTGTCTGTGTGTGTAAGATGTGAGATGTGACAGATCCATTTTCATCTCCTCTCCCAGAGAGTTAAGCATTTCACTGTCCCTGAAATACTTGAAACTTGAGACCGTCTTCATAATGCCATATTGTGTAGTATCCCTGGTGTCTCTTCATAATGCCATATTGTGTAGTATCCCTGGTGTCTCTTCATAATGCCATATTGTGTAGTATCCCTGGTGTCTCTTCATAATGCCATATTGTGTAGTATCCCTGGTGTCTCTTCATAATGCCATATTGTGTAGTATCCCTGGTGTCTCTTCATAATGCCATATTGTGTAGTATCCCTGGTGTCTCTTCATAATGCCATATTGTGTAGTATCCCTGGTGTCTCACTAGATGGCTCTCGCTTTGCAGCCTCACACAGCAGCTACACTACACCAATCCTTTCTGGTTCACCTGACCGGTCTGCTTCATGCTTTATAATGCTTGATATCATTTAGCAAACAGACTGAGCAGTAATGGTTTATCATTAAAACATCATCAGGTAAATGTCACAGATCTGGCATAAATAAGATTATATTTTATGACATCTTAATTACAAAACGTATCCTGTGCCAGGAAATGTATCATTAGAGGTTCACTGCGAAGCTGTGAAAACTATTGTTATTCTTTGAATTTAACCAGCATAGATTGGTCACTGTTTGGCCCACAGAAACTGGAGGTCAGGAGCAACTTGGTCAAACGTAAGAGCACCGATTGGCCTATAGGTGGCGCTGCTATAAAGGATACCCTATCTGAGATACCTACTGCAGCCCTCATCCTCAACATACAACACCCGTTCTGCCAGTCACATTCTGTTAAAGGTCCCCAAAGCATACACATCCCTGGGTCGCTCCTCTTTTCAGTTCGCTGCAGCTAGCGACTGGAACGAGCTGCAAAAAACACTCAAACTGGACAGTTTTATCTCCATCTCTTCATTCAAAGACTCAATCATGGACACTCTTACTGACAGATGTGGCAGCTTCGCGTGATGTATTGTTGTCTCTACCTTCTTGCCCTTTGTGCTGTTGTCTGTGCCCAATAATGTTTGTACCATGTTTTGTGCTGCTACCATGTTGTGTTGCTGCCATGATGTTGTCATGTTGTGTTGCTACCATGCAGTGTTGTCATGTGTTGCTGCCATGCTGTGTTGTCATGTGTTGCTGCCATGCTGTGTTGCTGCCATGCTGTGTTGCTGCCATGCTGTGTTGTCATGTGTTGCTGCCATGCTGTGTTGTCATGTGTTGCTGCCATGCTGTGTTGCTGCCATGCTGTGTTGCTGCCATGCTGTGTTGTCATGTGTTGCTGCCATGCTGTGTTGTCATGTTGTGTTGCTGCCATGCTGTGTTGTCATGTGTTGCTGCCGTGCTGTTGTCTGCCGTTTGCTGTGTTGTCATGGTTGCTTGCAGGCTGTGTGTCATGTGTGTTGCTACCATGCGGTGTTGTCATGTGTTGATGCCATTGCTGTGTGCAATGTGGTGCTGCATGCTGTGTGTCATGTTGTGTTGCTACATGCTGTGTTGTCATGGTTGTGTTGCTACCATGCTGTGTGGTCATGGTGGTGTGCCATGCTGTGTTGATGGCCATGCTGTGTTGCTGCCATGTTGGTGCTGTGTGCTTGAATGTTGGTTTGCTGCCATGACGGTGTTGTGTTTCTGCCATGTTGTGTGTGTTTGCTGCAAGGCTGTGTTGATGCCAGGCTGTGTTGCTTGCCCATGTTGTGTTGCTGCCATGCTGTGTTGCTGCCATGCTGTGTTGCTGCCATGTTGTGTTGCTGCCATGTTGTGTTGCTGCCATGCTGTGTTGCTGCCATGCTGTGTTCTTCATTTGTTGCTGCCAGCTGTGTTGTCATGTGTTGCGCATGCTGTGTTGCTGCCATGCTGTGTTGCTGCCATGGTTGTGGGTTTGCTTAGCTGCCATGCTGTGTTGCTGCCATGCCTGTGTTGCTGCCATGCTGGGTGTATGTGTTTGCCACCCATGTGGTGTTTGCTGCCAGCTGTGTTGCCCACCAGGTTTGTAGTTGCTAGCCATGCCTGTGTTGTTGTCTTAGATCTCTCTTAAATAAAGAATCAATAAATAAGCAGTCTCACTTAAACCCTCATATCCGTCACCCCGTTTGACCAACAGACTTGAAACTTTGTATGTACACTACCGGTCAAAAGTTTGGACACACCTACTCATTCAAGGGTTTTTTCTTTATTTTTACTATTTTCTCTACATTGTAGAATAATAGTGAAGACATCAAAACTATGAAATAACACATATGGAATCATATAGTAACCAAAAAAGTGTTCAACAAATATATTTTGTATTTGAGATTCTTCAAATAGCCACCCTTTGCCTTGATGACAGCTTTGCACACTCTTGGCATTCTCTCAACCAGCTTCATGAGGTAGTCACCTGGAATACATTTCAATTAACAGGTGTGCCTTGTTAAAAGTTAATTTGTGGAATGTAATTCCTTCTTAATGCGTTTGAGCCAATCAGTTGTGTTGTGACAAGGTAGGGGTGGTATACAGAAGATAGCCCTATTTGGTAAAAGACCAAGTCCATATTATGGCAAGAACAGCTCAAATAAGCAAAGAGAAACGACAGTCCATCATTACTTTAAGACATGAAGGTCAGTCAATCTGGAAAATGTCAAGTGCAGTCGCAAAAACCATCAAACGCTATGATGAAACTGGCTCTCATGAGGACCGCCACAGGAATGGAAGACCCAGAGTTACCTCTGCTGCAGAGGATAAGTTCATTAGAGTTACCAGCCTCAGAAATTGCAGCCCAAATAAATGCTTCACAGAGTTCAAGTAACAGACACATCTCAACATCAACTGTTCAGAGGAGACTGTGTGAATCAGGCCTTCATGGTCGAATTGCTGCAGAGAAACCACTACTAAATGACACCAATAAGAAGAAGATACTTGCTTGGGCCAAGAAACACAAGCAATGGACATTAGACAAGTGGAAATTGTCCTTTGGTCTGGAGTCCAAATTGGAGATTTTTGGTTCCAACCGCCGTGTCTTTGTGAGACGCTGTGTGGGTGAATGGATGATCTCAGCATGTGTATTTCCCACCGTAAAGCATGGAGGATGAGGTGTGATGGTGTGGGGGTGCTTTGCTGGTGACATTGTCTGTGATTTATGTAGAATTCAAGGCACACTTAACCAGCATGGCTACCACAGCATTCTGCAGCGATACGCCATCCCATCTGGTTTGGGCTTAGTGGGACTATCATTTGTTTTTCAACAGGACAATGACCCAACACACCTCCAGGCTGTGTAAGGGCTATTTTACCAAGAAGGAGAGTGATGGAGTGCAGCATCAGATGACCTGGCCTCCACAATCCCTCGACCTCAACCAAATTGAGATGGTTTGGGATGAGTCGGACCGCAGGGTGAAGGAAAAGCAGCCAACAAGTGCTCAGCATATGTGGGAACTCCTTCAAGACTGTTCCAGGTGAAGCTGGTTGAGAGAATGCCAAGAGTGTGCAAAGCTGTCATCAAGGCAAATGGTGGCTATCTGAGGAATCTCAAATATACTGTCACGCCCTGGCTCTGGGGACTCTTAAATGTTGAGCCAGGGTGTGGACTTGTTATGTTTAGTTGTCTATGGGTGTTCTAGATTGTGTATATCTATGTTTGGCCAGGGTGGTTCCCAATCAGAGACAGCTGTAGCTCGTTGTCTCTGATTGGGGACCATACTTAGGCAGCCTGTTTTCACTAGTATATTGTGGGATCTTGTTCTGTATAGGTTTGTGTTGGTTGAACCTTTAGACTTCACGTATCGTTTTGTTGTTGGTGTAAAGTACTCATTAAAAGATGTACGCCTATCACGCTGCGCCTTGGTCTGCCTCTAATAACGATCGTGACAGAAGATCCGACCAAAATAGGACCAAGCAGCGTGTGCAGGAGCAAACGCCGGGTATGGAACAGGAGGTTACTCTGGTAGATGTCCTCCTCGGTTGGGGGAGAATCACAGAGGAGGAGGCCGTCCGCTACCGGAGGGCGATGAGGGAGGATGCCCAGGCAGGAGAGGAGAAGCGGTGCCAACTGGGTCGTCGTCGGACAGGCGAGAGGCAACCCCAAGAAATGTTTTGGGGGGGCACACGGCATGGACGACGGGGATGCTGGAGGCAGCTACAGGACGTATCGGCGGATTAGGAGAGGAGGCCACCAGGTTTGGGGGGCTGGAAGGGAGGTTGGCGGAGCCTAGAGGTAGAGCAGAGCCAACTACCCGTACTCAGGCTAGGCAGCGTGAGACTGGGCAGGTTCCGAGTTATGCGGAGCTGCGTACTGTGCCGCGAGTGGTCCGGCACAGTCCTGTACGTCCTGTGCTAGCACCACGCACGTGTCGTGCTAAGGTGGGCATGCAGCCAGGACGGAGTGTGCCAGCTCACTCGTGGCCTCCAGTACCCCTCCCGGGTCCCCGTATCCATGGCTTAGGTCCAGTACTGAGTGATCCTGAGTCCGCCTGTACGTCCGTGCTAGAAATGCATCACACAGAGGTGTGTAGAAATGCAGTCTCCAGCGTTCACGCCTGGTCGGCCTCTTCCGCTCCCCGACCTCCAGTGCCGCTCTCCACCAGCCCGTCCTGCTTTCGGCCTGTTCCTGTCGCCGTCACTGCACGCCAGCCAGGGCGATCGCTCACCCGTGTCAGCCCGCCGCGGGCCCAGCCACAAGCCGAGGGCGCGTGTCACGCCGGCCGGCCCTCCAGGCGACCCACCCAAGCCAGTGGTGCGCCGTCGCAGCCCGGTCGCGGCCCGTTCGCGCCCACCAAGCGGTGGGGGCGGTCGTCCGCCCGGCCTGGCCTCTCACGCCTAAGCCAGTGGTGACGTTCGCCAGCCGTCAATCAGTCCGGCACAGTCCGTGCCTGTTCCCACCTGTGCCTGTCCGGCACCGGTCAGCTGCTCCACGCCGGAGCCAGAGCAATCCGCTCCACCGGTGTTCAGTCCAGCTCCGGCCAGCAGGGCCAGACCACGAGGGCGAGAGAGAGAGTGGTAGTCACGCCCGGAAGCCGGATCCGCCTCCGAGGCGGAATGCCCACCCGGCCCCTCCCCTGTGGTGTTTGGTTGGCGCGGTCGCAGTCCGCGCCTTTGGGGGGGGGGGGGTACTGTCACGCCCTGGCTCTGGGGACTCTTAAATGTTGAGCCAGTGTGTGGACTTGTTATGTTTAGTTGTCTATGGGTGTTCTAGATTGTGTATATCTATGTTGGCCAGGGTGGTTCCCAATCAGAGACAGCTGTAGCTCGTTGTCTCTGATTGGGAACCATACTTAGGCAGCCTGTTTTGCACAGTTGATTGTGGGATCTTGTTCTGTATAGGTTTGTGTTGGTGAACCTTTAGACTTCACGTATCGTTTTGTTGTTTTGTTGTTGGTGTAAAGTACTCATTAAAAGATGTACGCCTATCACGCTGCGCCTTGGTCTGCCTCTAATAAC